ACTGACGTATCTCTAGTTGAATATCTAAAAGGCTTATTCTTATTTGAAATAACTATTCGATACTTTTAAGTTTACTTGTGTTTTTTAATCAACCTCAATTTGTAATGAATAGTATCTATAGAGGTGAAAATTATAGGGACATAGGTTTCAGATAGAATGACAGCATCAATTCCAACCAATTGTCTACTCTTCTTCTATTTATTTATGCGCATTAGTAGAACAGAATATATATAATTATTTGGTGATATAAATACAAAATCTGTAAAATACCTCAAGAATAGTACAAAGCCTAAACAACATTTCGAAGAACTTGTGCAATGAGATGTATAATGTAGCAAGTAGACAGTGAAACTAATTACTCATCAAAGGTAGAAAGTGTTCCCTCCAATCAAAAGAAATAATATTCAGTTTACTAAAAATGAGTCAAATTAACAAATCTTATTTGAGCACATCAATGGTTATTATAGCATTAACTCAGGTTTTGTGATTAAATAAGTTAAAATATAATAGCAGACAGAAATATACTACTAAGAGAGCATGAAGAACAAACATGACTGAGTTGCAGTTGAAGATCGGTCTTGTAATATTCAGCGATTTCTCGAACCAAACTCTGAAAAGAAAGCTTTCAGATCAAAAGTTCGGTAATGACAAGTCTGTCGAATAGCATCAGTTCTAGACCTGTATCCGAGAGGCTTCTTCACGCCACCGGTTGCTGAGGCGCTTTTTTGCACAGCTGTAGTCGCCAGATACTTTTGTTGGGTCTTATATCTAGTTGATTTAAGGACGGTCTAATAAGTTTATGCCATTTCGAAATGCCAAAAGATAGATATCACTGTAATAATAATCTTATTTGAATCGAGAACACAAAAACGAAACCAAAGATTGTAAAAACAAATAACATTAACGTTAAATATAAGACAAATCAAATTTCTATTTTTTAGCAATAGGTACATAAATTTATTAGGGAATCATTCAGATTTATGATGGTGGTTTTTAAATCTTACCGAGAAATTAATTCACCCATATGACTAGATAGTATTCTGAGGTTACGGTTGATATTATTTTGTGTTTTAATCATTTTGATACCTAACCATAGCTTTCAATCTCAAACTTCTAATTCTGATTTCTCACATTATTTTGAAACCCTATTATAAACCTAGTAAGTGATAAAACGTTTCATGACAACTTTACTATCGTTCAGAAATCATTCATAAATCATAGTCTGACAGAATATTCTTCTCTCTATTTATTCTCATTATATTTCTTAGTTATGCGATCAAAGAAAGAATGACTATATTTAAGGCAAATACATCTTTATTTTTAAATCACAGTATTTGAATTTCAAACTTCGCCTGTAGCTCTTCTAGGGTTACAGTCGGTCCCAAGCCTGGGTAAAAAAAAAGAAGGGTTGGGAGTGAGGTCGGCAACCCCATCCTCTAGAAAATAACCTTACTAAAAAAACGCTAATCAGAAAACGAATTTACAATTGTAGAATTATAGAATAGAGTCAACTGAAGCTAGACCACCATGGAAAACCTGCAAGCACTGGACAGCTGGCCGTTTCGTTCTAGTATGGGACTCCTCAGCAGTGTGCATCCACGATCCCGCACCACGCGGGGCTCGAACCCAAGACCTGCTGGCTTCGCGTGCGAGCAACTAACCACTAGACCACTGAGCCAGCATCCAATGGTGTTAATGTCTAACTTCAACCAATCCACGAAGTTGCGCCACCGTACACCATTGTCTTCAGTGAGTTGATGTTTCACGACAGACCTGGTTGAACTCCATTGGTAATGGCTTCTCACTAGAACTCCAGGAGTTTTTCCTGAAGTCAGTTACTAGTGAGCAGTTGATTATTATCAGAATGGGAAATTTCTAAAACTCTCCACAAAACCCATTCTGATAATTATAGAATACAATAAAATTGGTTCAAGTCACAATGATTAGTGTGTGTCTGTTGTTGTTGTTGATTTAAACAAGTAACTAAGTCAAAAGGAATAGAAGATATTAATAATTCGAATAAATAGCTAGTCGTTTCTCTATACCTTAATTTTAAGATAATTTATTCTTTTTTTTAAAAAAATAATTTATTTCCATATTATCATTTGTTGTTTTATAAACTGAATTAATCAATGAATCAATTATTTTTTATGGTTTGATCACAGTCACAATCAGAAACTGATTCTTTTTAAATGATTACAGTAAATAATTTCATAATAATAATTATTATTATTCACTTGGTAACACAATAACGTTCCAAGCAAACGGTACTGGGTTCGAGTTTCAAAGTGAATATCAACTTTCAGGATACAGATATATCTGGCTGACGAGTTCTATATAGAATGAAACGCGCATTCTGTATTCCACTGCTAGTCATTATTCAATCTTTGTTTATAATAATAATAATTATTATTTTTATGAACGATTATTTACCGGTTTATTTATTTACTACTTAAATAAAACTGATCTATTCAAGCGAAATAAATAAAAGTCATTATTATTATTTTTTTAACTTTGTGTATAAATCTCTCATTTCAACTTACAGAATATCATTTACATAAACATATTTTATATAAGTAAATAAACAAGAATGATGTATAATTCAAAAAATGACCTTGATGATGGTAACATTGGACAATTACCTAACATGATGTAAGAAAAACAATCCTTTATAATAATAGTAACAGTAATAATAAAACTAACATATTTATCCAATCTTATATTTATTATGATCACTTTTGTTTATTACTTAGGTAAATGAAGAGATTAAAGAATGGTAAAATGAAAGTGTCGAGTTCTATGATCATTTTCTTTTTCAATTACCTATTCACTTGATTTAAGTTGGATAATTACTGAATAGATGGTAGGCTATTTTAATAGATTTATTGTTATTTATTGAATAATGAAAACAATCTTTTAATTTGTTTTGTTGTTGTTGTTGTTGTTGTTTTCATTGTTATCACTATTCATATAATTTGAAATTGTAATTTTTGAATATAATTGTTTTATTTCAAAAGATTTCCACCTTCCTATTATTGATATTGAAGATTATAATTGGTAGCTCAGTGGTAACGTGTCTGACTGTGAAATTGGGTGATATGGAATTGAATCCGTTGGGGAACATCAGTTCCTTCAAGATTACAGGTACAAATAGAACGAAATCTAGATCCAGGGTTTCCTGTTGACTACAATCGGTATGTATACTTTTTTAGTTGGTCATCTCAACATTGCCATGTAATCACAGTATTTAATTAAAGTTCGACAACAGGCTGTAGCAATGTCTAGAATACGTATATTTTTCTATTTGAGACTCGTTAATTGAATGCATTTGTATGACAGTATGAATGTCTATACTGATAAGGTATTGGTACTCAATCAAAGCGTAAACATTAACAATATGATGCACGTACATGTAACCAATATATTTTGGATAGGATGATACACACGTCCTGGATTTCACTACTACTTACTTACTTACGCCTATTAACCCTCGTCGAGGAACATAGGCTGCTTAACAACTCTCTCCATTCAAACCTATCCCGGACAATCCTTTCCAGTTCTTTCCAGTTACCACTCATTCTCTTGATCCCTGCTTCCAATTCCCGAAGTAGTGTGTTCTTTGATCTTGCACTTTTCTGTTTCACGATTCTAAATTAGAACCTGCCTCATGATGCAGTTTGATGATTTCCGTAGTATATGTCCTATTAACCTTCAACGTGTTTTCCTAATTCTATCATCAGATGGAATCTCGTTTGTTCTCTCACATAGTAGACTGTTGCTGATGATATCCTGTCAACGGACATTGATTAAGTTGAGTAAACAATTGCATATAAATACTTGTACCATTTTGATGATGGTTGTGGTAGTTCTCGAAGTTTCATCTCTATACAATAGAACTAAGTATCTTGACGTTCGTATTGAGAATTCTGAACTTGTTGACTCGCAAACAGTTGATTTGAGTTGAATATAATCTTCAACTGTAAGAATGAGGTCGTTGGTTACTGCTACTAAACTGACTATCTTCACATGCATTTGTTCGTATGACATAGAAGACCTAGGTCCACTACTAGCTACTATTAAAATTGTTTTTTTGATGCACTGGTTTCATTATCTGGGTAGGAAGGTTTTAAAAGTTTGTTCTAGACTTAATTGTTAAAACAACATCGAATTAAAATATTAATAATGATACAAACCAAGGAAGCGATCTGATAGTATGTTCTCCTCTACTTCTTTATTTAGAATAAAAACAACTTTTTGTCGTCAGAGAAAACAAGCAAGCAAATGAATAAATGATAAACTGATTATCAATGAATGTCCATAACTGTTAATATTGAAGATGATGATGCTTTCAATTTAATTGTTTCACTGATTTATTCAATTTTTTATTAATATTTTTAATCTTCTCGAAAATAAAAAAGAGATTAAACTGTTTACTTGATTTTCTTTTCAGATGTTTACTCATTGTCCAGTTTACGATTATTATTGTTTGTGAGTTCGATTAGTGATGTAGATTATCGAGGGTAAGTAATTAAATGATTACTAAAATACTTTGAAGTCGAGAGTTGATTTCATTAATAACGATGGCGATGTTGATTATTATTATTATTATTATTATAAGAAGCTTTATTCAACATTATACTTTTGGTACAACATAGAATTCTCAGCATAAAGTATTTCAACAAGTTTCTTTTTCTTATATCTTGATCGATTGTGACGATAAATTTCGAATGATGACCAGTTAGATGTTAGGAATTCGGTAATCCGCATTTGATTAATGTTCATTCGTTTCAATGCATATTGCCAGCCACCATGATGTCGCTGATTGTACCTTTCTGTATCCCGTATAGCGAAAGGTTGTAAACTTTTCATAAACGCGCCCGAAAAGATTGTGAGCACAATAGACATATTGATATGCTAAAACGAACAACAAAACAGATAACTTGAAGAAATATATAGATCGAAGGAACAGGTAGCCCAGATATTCAAGCAGGCCGCCGGATATGATGATGATGATGATGATGATGATGATGATGATGATGATGATGATGATGATGATGATGATGATGATGATGATGATGATGATGATGATGATGATGATGATGATGATGATGATGATGATGATGATGATGATGATGATGATGATGATGATGATGATGATGATGATGATGATGATGATGATGATGATGATGATGATGATGATGATGATGATGATGATGATGATGATGATGATGATGATGATGATGATGATGATGATGATGATGATGATGATGATGATGATGATGATGAGGATGATGATGATGATGATGATGATGATGATGATGATGATGATGATGATGATGATGATGATGATGATGATGATGATGATGATGATGATGATGATGATGATGATGATGATGATGATGATGATGATGATGATGATGATGATGATGATGATGATGATGATGATGATGATGATGATGATGATGATGATGATGATGATGATGATGATGATGATGATGAGGATGATGATGATGATGATGATGATGAGGATGATGATGATGCTGATGATGATGATGATGATGATGATGATGATGATGATGAGGATGATGATGATGATGATGATGATGATGGTGATAGGATGGATTTCTCCGATTAACTATCTACAGATAATTTCATTGGAAAATAAACTCGTCACTATTGGGTTGTAATAGGAGCTTTTGCTTCGCTTCATGAAACTGATATGTTCAGTTTATATTGCTATTAGATTGTGGGAGGTGAATCCCTGAAAGTAGATTTTGTAAGTCACTGGGCTCATTAGCAAAGGATATCTAGATGTTTCATGGAATAGATTCTCAACTTTTGGTAGACATATTTGTCCGAATTAAAAATAAACCTTGAAGAAAACTGGAGGCCAACAAAATACTCAACTTTAATATCAGCCAATGAAGTAACTGTTGAACAATTTGATTCAAGCAGAAAAACAAACTTCATGGTTACGTCATTTAAAATATTGAAATGGATGATTTAATGTTTCAGGGAACAATCAAGTAATCCTGTATTTTCATAGCACGAAACAGATGTTTACGGATATGTGTCAGTCAATTGGATTCACATTTCTTGCTGTTCGGAAATTGCTCCTGAAAATCATGAAACTGAGGGATTACTAATCATTTACTTCGATTAGATTTACTACATTTGATTCTCGTAATCATATTCAAAAGTATACAGAAAATTTATAACACAATAAACTGATTAAATTTACTGGAATTTGAAAGATTAACACATTTCTGATTAACAATGAACAAACATTGAGAAAAGAGAACACTATATATATCTGCTTACTCCTGTTACCCCATGAGGAGAGCATAGGCCACTCACCAGCATTCTCCATTTAACTCTGTCCTCAACAATCCTTTCCATTCCTTTAAAGTTGCTACTCGTTCTCTTGATGTCTACTTCCGATTCTCGACGCAATATGTTTCATGTTCTTTCACTTTCCCGTTTCCCTTCAAGATTCCATGTTATATATATTTTAATTTGGAAATATTAGTTGTAGAATGACCAATTCTTTGGTGAAGTTTAACTATTGAATATAAATTAGTCACAGTTAAATTTTACAATATAACTTATACTTATAAACATATACATATCATGTTCTTTTAAAGATTTATTACAACTACATCACTACTTAATTGATGTCAATCTTTTATTTCCAATACAATATGCTTTTAGCTGATGACAAGTCATGAAATAAGATGTTATACTTTCAAGAAATAAACCTTGATTTTCTGATTCATTTCCTTGAATCCTTGAATATCTGTTTATACTCTTACAAAATAGCATCTGAAAAATTTCAGATTTACACATGTCAAATGGAACCATGAAGTTAACCTAATCCCATAATAGTTTGTTATAACCATAGAAAAACTAGTACTCTCTACGAAGCAAAATTAGACAACAAAACTAATGACATAACTGATCCATGATGCCACACTACTGATTAGTTCCATACTAAGACAAAACGGCCGTTCAGTGCTTCCAGGTTTTCAATGATGGTCTAACAGTGATTGGTTCATAATCTCAAAGAATCGGATTTTATTCACTTGCCAGAAAAAATGATTCTCCTTTAATCAAGACATACATGTGTATAAAATTGATTTAACTGACGTTTGATGATTGGTCAAGGAATATCAGATATTACAGCAAATAAAAATTTTATGCAAAATCACTTCGGAATGGTTTCTACATGTTATATTGAGTGAAAAGCATGATAACTTAGTATAGAAGAAAGTCATGCTGAATGAATGTTACACTAAAATAAAATGAATGTTACGTGATTACTCTTTCTTGAACGATAGTTACATATCATAGGTTATTGAAGAAATTCTTTTTAATAGGTCCCTTGCACTTCCATCAATTAAGACTTTGCTAGTCATATATATACGCTGGATAAGTATTTGAGTATGTGGAGTCACCACCGTTTACTCTGTGCCCAATCAAGTTAGTTTTTGGGACAGGTTCAGGGTCACTTAATCCATTAGTTCGATAGAATATTTACTTATTATATATCGAAATGGAACTCTTTTCAAGTTAGATTATATATTTGACGTTATAATTTGTCATGGATCGATATCAGTTAAATGATGATTTAGAAATGTAAAATTTGAAACAGCTGTTTAATTTTACACTGAGATTCTTTATTGTTTAATCTCTTGGTACCCTATAAGAAACCAAATGAGTCACAAGACAAGCCCTCACATGGAATCCTCAAGGCCAAAGGAAAAGAGGAAAATCAACGAACACATTACGCCGGGAAATGGAGATAGACATGAGAAAAATGAATAAGAATTGGATGGAATTAGAAAAGAAGGCTTAGGACAGAGTGGGTTGGAGAATGCTGTTCGGCGGCCTATGCTCCATTGGGAGTAACAGGCGTAAGTAAGTAACCATATAAGAAAGTTGATTCAATGATATACTTCATATAGTAATAGTAATATTAGTAGAAAAAAGGTATCTGGTATCCATTTTCGATACAAAACTAAATAAATTAATTTCATTAACCGGATAGATTTTTTCAACTAGGCCGAAAGGTGTCATATTTATATACTACAATAATCGCTTAAAGAAACTGTGAAAGGAAACACAACGGATATAATTGACCTTGACACTTCAAGATTTGATACATGTACTATGAAATGATAAAAAATAAATTATCATAGATAATCGATAAATGTTTACACTTCAATCAATAAACTTGAAACTACTTTTCATTGGTTAATAAGTCATATAAAAAAACTCCATTTTATACAGTCATCTTCAATCTAAATCATATTTTCCATGTTAAATATTTAGTGGGTTGTAGCTGTATTATCATTTATATTTCCATATAAATTTTTAATGGAGTTTTGTTATCTATGTTAGATGATTTGATCATAAAGCTTTCATCATTCTTCAAACTTCAGGTAGAAGTGAAATATTCGAATTCATTCCGAAGAACGATGTAAACTCCACAACTAAACCATCCAGCTCAAAGAATAAAACTTCGTCAAAATCATCCATCCGAACTATAAATCTTTTTCACTATCTCATGTAAAACTAATTATTTTATTGACAAATTCTTTTGATGTTCAATATACAATGGTTAATAAACGAATCAATAATTTGGTTCATTTAAGTAGTAAACAATCAACTATACTAATTGAATGGTTTTAAGCGATTGATTACACAATCTACACAATCTTATAAAGTACTTTACTAATACAGAAAATTGTATAGTTAACTGTTGTCCATTAAGTAAAAAGAAAAAAAACCTTTTTATTTATAGACTGTGTAGTTATAAGCTGTACAAATAGTGAGATTTTGAATTCACTTGGTATTGTTTGGCATGTATCTTCCCATTGAGGTTTAAAACTGCAATTGATCAGTCTGTTATTGGCATATGTGCATATTGTCCGTATGCCTCAATATTGCCTTAATTCACAAGCTTTTTGTAAGCAATGATGTATAGTGGCTAGCAGTGGAATCCAGGACGCGCGTTTCGTCCTATTTGGGACTCGTCAGCTGGATGTATCTGCATCTCAGAGAGTTGATGTTCACTCTGGGATTCAAATCCAATGGGAACTCAAATGGAAGATACAAGCCAAACAATACCAAGTGAATTTAAATTCATCCCATTGCACAAGCAAGTGGCTATCAGGACTCAGTAGCTGAATAGATAACGCGATGGCGTTTGAAGCGAATGGTACTGGGTTCAAGTCCCAGAGTGAACATCAACTTTGAGATGCAGGTACATCCAGCTGATGAGTCCCAAACAGGACGAAACGTGCGTCCTGGATTCCACTGCTATCCACTATCCATCATTGATAACAAATAGTGAGATTTTGGTTTCATTATATAACAAATAAGGAAAAAAAGAACAATCATTTTCAGTTTGTAATTTTAGTACGATAATAATTGAGAATATTATATTGACAAATGTAATAATATTTTGGTCAATGTATAAAATTGTATTATTTATAAACCTATCAGGGGATTCGTTACATATTCAGAGAAATGAATAAAGAGTAAAGAGTAAAATTAGCCTGGATATATATATATATATATATATATATATAGAGAGAGAGAGAGAGAGAGATTACAAGTGAAAGGTAAAGTTATAACAAAACAAGCTCGTTGTTTATGAAGTTCTTCAAGTAGATCCATGCACATATAAAAAATTTCTTGTTTAGTTGGAAGGATTTAATGGAAAACAATGGATAAAGATTTCATGCTAGTTGGCAGTTGTCGCCAAGGCGCGTTTCCAATGACACTCTTGGAGTTCAAGTTCATAACATCCAATGTTATGATAATATATATTCACAACTGACCTGTCTGAATGTCTATACTTTTATCCGTGACTAGTTACAAAATAATGTTTTGTTTTTTAATTGAATTCTATCGATTTATTAACAACATGACTTACTTAAGCCTGTTACTCCCAATGGAGCATAGGCCGCCGAACAGCGTTCTCCAACCCACTCTGTCCTGGGCCTTCTTTTCTAATTCCATCCAATTCTTGTTCATTTTTCTCATGTCTATCTCCATTACCCGGCGTAATGTGTCCTTTGATCTTCCTCTTTTCCTTTGGCCTTGAGGATTCCATGTGAGGGCCTGTCTTGTGACGCAGTTGGGTGCTTTCCTCAATGTGTGTCCTATCCACTTCCAGCGCTTCTTCCTGATTTCTTTCTCCACTGGGATCTGGTTTGTTCTCTTCCACAGTACGTTGTTGCTAATAGTGTCCGGCCAATGGATCTGAAGTATTTTGATTTGATATTATATGAATCAGAAATTAATGTTATGTAGCTTAAATTATTTAGAAAGAAGCTATAAATATAATTCTTATACCCGTAAAAATTATCCACCTGAGCTACAAATCTTCTCCACCAGTATATCTTTGATTAAATACAGTTTACAACATGATAGAAAGATACTATCATCCATTTAGATTAGAGACCTGTTCCATACTACTATTATTAAGTATGATATCATTATGTAAGTTATCTTTTCTTTTATCATTTAAACTATATATACTTTTGCCTTTATTATAACTGGAAACTTATACAGTTACGTAAGAAAGAAAAAAGAGAGAAATTTTCATGTTCTACTTATCTATGGCATGATTTATATTTTTTTTTTTAAAAAAAGAAAAAGATCGATGAAAATTGAGTTC